AAGCATGACAGAGATCAGAAATTTGGGAAGCTCGGGCATTGAGGCTTGAAGGTTTTATTAGCCAGTGTCAGGATTCAGTGGGTCATATGGCATCCTGTCTTGTGAGCATAGGAGTTGCTGGGCTGTTGTAACCTCTTCAGGACACCTTGTGGTCCTGTCAGTCTGCCACCTGCTCTCTGCAAAGCCCCTCGGCCTTTTGTAGAAGTGTGTTGGTGCTGCCTTCTTGCCGAGGCTTACAAACTTCAAAGCAAACCAGTGAGCTCCTGTTGGTACTTATCATGTTGCAGGCCACAGCTGAACTCCCGCTGCATAAGCCTGGGTTGTAAGAGCTCCTGCTTCTTTGCAGGACGCCTTTTCTCCTCTGGGAAAGGCTTGCATTACTCTGATAATGAAAGAAATGAGCCCATCTTCAGTCCCTGCAGGTCTTTGGGATTGTGACTGTATGGAGTCAATATGTGCCCTAGTTCCAACCTCACCCTACCAGTCCTTTATCCTCTTTGTGGAAACTGTACTGCATTTCTGTCTTCTATTCCAGTATCACTGCAGCATGTGTGTGCTTGGTGTAAGCCTTGTGTTAGCATATTAACAAAATCTCTACAAATCCAAATAAATAATGCTCTCATTAGTGATGGGAATCCTTAGCTGTTTTCCTGCTGCAACTCTGCCTCTCGTCAATGCTAATCAGCCACAGACATTCAGTTTAGAGTTTTTCTTCTGTTTTCCTTTTTTCTCCTCAGGCATGGTGTTATGGCTAGTAATACAGTCCCAGCCTAGAATTCAAGAAACTCCTTAGCAAGAGAGCACTTGGCACATGGCGCCTCTAGCAAGTGTTGTGCGTGCTGGACCCACTTAATACAAATTCATAGCTGGCTAACTATTAAGGGATTTTTAGGAAGCCACGGTGCCTTGTAACTAGGAGTCCTTATATAGAGAGTGGTGAAAGCGTGATGGCTCTTTTTTTCTCAGGGCTTCAGAGAATCATCGTTTTGCCTGGGAAGGAGAAGTGGAGAACGGTGTCCACAAGAAGGTGACACGGAGTCCGCTGGCACATCCCAACTATCAGGTCCATTTTGCTGTGCAGCAGCATCAGCAGCATCAACTTCAGTCACGACAGCTGTTGGAGCAAAGCCAAGCCCAGCACCAGGTAACTTAAGGAAAAATCCTGCCTGGAATGTAGCACTGTTGACTGAGTCTTAGACGTGCAGAACCAACCCTGAGCCAGCACATATGGCACAGCTTTTTCTGAAGAAAGTAGCTCTGCAAGCAGGTTGCAACAAAACTAATATTACTGCAGTGATTTTGATAGCGTTTTGATGCTGTAGTTTCCAATGGCTTCTTCCACTGCATTGGCATCCTTCGCTATTTGGCTATGCTGCTGCTTGCTTTTCTGCACCAGTTCAGGACATTCCCTCATAGTGCCTCACACAGCCTTCGAACTGTCTACAGTCTCCACAGTTCTTTGTCACTTAATCTTGTCTCTGATCATATGTTCCTGTTTTGACTTGAGGAGTTCTTCAGTAGGGCTTCAAGCTGGGTCACTGTTGTATTTCAGTGTTTCTAGACGTAGGGTCTCGAAATTGTGTTGGCAACTGTGTCCTCTGTGGCAAACAGACCCCATCAAAGCTTCATCTTGACTAAATTCTCCTCCTCCTGGATGTTGTCTCACATGATGCAGTTATCAAAAGAGCAGTATGTTAAAAAGACTCAAAAATTATTTAGGAGAGTCTTCATTCTTTTGAAGAAATGTATTCATTTATTTTAAGAGCCTTCAGTGTGCAGGAGGCATGGCCACTGACCCTGATGCCAGATTCAAGTTTTCTTTGCAATCTTGAAAATCTTTTCCAGGCCTCCTATACATTTTGTTATTACTATATTTAATGTCTTCCTTCACTGCTTTGCCCGGAACTGTCTGACAGATATGTGACTCCTTTGTTACAATTGCAAGGAGAAAAGATGAGCTAAGTGTCCAAGAGCTAGAGGAAATATGAAAAAGCATTTGTATTATTGATGTTCTGGATGACACCTAGATGCCAAAGATGGACTGCTGTATCTGGAACAGCATTTCCATCCTGCTTGGGGAATCTCTCAAGGTTACAATGAGTGCATTGATGCTCTCTTTCTTTGTTATTATGGAGAGAGGGGTGTGTTCTTTCTTGTGAGTGATGTCCAAAAGGCTTTGCTGCTAAAGGGAAGGAAGTCTTTGGGTGAACGAACCTTCATTCAGAAACAAACTTCACACAGACCAATGGAGATTGGTCTGTATTAGGAAGGAGCTGTTTGCTGGGCTGACTGGCAAGACAGGACTCCAACAAAACCATGAACAGAGCTGACATGCAGAGATCTGAACACCCACTCTCCCTCATGTGAAGCAGATGAGTCACTAGTCACGGTTCTTGAGAATAGGTTATAGGCAAATTGCCCTCATCCTTTCCTGGGAGCATCTTGAAGGAGAGGCGCTTCTGCCTTTGCTCCTTGCACTCCTCCTTTCAAGGCCCTCACTTAGCCATGCAGTTTCCATCCCCAAATTCCCTCACCGCCAGTCGTCTTGCTCCCCCTCTGAGCAGGAGGTCTTCCTTTCATCTCCATCCATAGGGCTCTGGGTGGGCAGCTGCGGCTGCTCCTGCGCTCAAGGAAGGGCTGTAGGCTGGCTTGTGCCTGCGAGGAGGCTGGAGCTGGCCATGGGGCCTGGCTGAGCCCTCTGCTAATTGCTGACATGGAGCTGTTGTTATTCTTGGCCTGGGGCAGAGCCATTACTCAGGAGTTTCTGTTAAAGTGATTCTTTGTTAAACCTCCTCTCACCCCCACAACGTCCCCCTCCTTTCTCTCCCTCCCTTCTCCTCCTGAGCCAAGCAGTTTGGAGTTGCAGTACTGAGGCAGTTGCCATGCCGCCGGGCTCAGGCTGCACTGCTGAACATGGGGGCTTTCAGACTTTCTGTGGTGAAAACTACATCTTAATAAAATGATTGTCTCTTGGACACTTCCTCTCCCACGAAGTTGTATGGAGCCAGCCAGACTTCCCCTTCCAGTCACAGTTGCACCAATCCTTTGATGCCCCTCCCGGTCACTGCTCTACTTTCATCTGTCTATCTCCTGCTCTCTCTCTAACCTCCTGTCACTGACCTCTTCCTTCTGCTAGTTAGCTTCTCAAACTTCAGTCCTTTGACTTGGCCTTTCCAAGAGCTGCCTTCTCTTTTCTGCTACTTACACACTCCTGCCCTACATCTCCTTCCTACTCGCGCTGCTTTGACTTCCATCTCACCTCTTCCTGCTGGCCGTCATTTGTCCTCTCTTTTTCCCCACAGTTTATATAGCTTATCCTAGACTGCATTGCTTTACCACATTTTCTACTCAGTGTTACCTAAGCCAACCATCTTCCCTTCTGTTCCTTCTCACATATCAAGATCTACTCCATCTTTTGTTGTATTGCCTGCTACATTGAAGTTCCTCAGACTCCTCTCAATAGAAGAAATACGTCTCCAAACTAGAAGGCCTATCACTTAAAAGAGTCTAATGATCTCTGTACTTTGGGGAATGCATGAAGGATACCTCCAAGCCTGTTTCATCTGATTGTTCAAGTTCTTGTTACAGTTGGAAGGCATTTGTCAGTAGTTGAAGTGCATTTATTAATATATCTCAAGACACACCCCAAGTATGGCCTGACCAAACAACGTGACTAGATGCCAATCTTTCCTTCTCTTTGTGACAGATGGACTAGTCAGATGTATATGGATAGCATGTGAACAAGTAACAGAAGCACCATGATTAGTAATACAGGCAAACACTTCTGCTTGTACATTAACCAGTTCAATATATTGGAGATGAGATGGATGTCTTGGAAAGCATGGAAGTTCCTAGTGAAGTATTTGTGTAGTAGGAATATCCCTATCTGCCAATGGAGTGAATATATCTTATCATGAAGGCTTATTGTGTACTTCTTTGTGGCAGCACCCACTCTTGGTTGAGCACTTTCCAGACACTTAAGAAAGATGGTTTCTTCTCCAGGCATTTAATAAGTTTGCAGAGTAGCAAATACTGTGTAGGTGGAGGAAGAGGAATAATAACCAACAATTTTCACTCATTGTGTGTAGAATATGTTCATGCGGTGTAGTATGGTGGAAATAGATCTTTGATGCCAGAACAGGTACTTCATTCTGTGGATAAAGAGAAAAACCCCAAACTGACCGGATGAGAATCTAACAAAAAAAATAGATGCAGTGATAGGGCCCCAGGAACAGAGACAATACAGAGCCTGAGAAAAGAGAAAAAAAAAATAGATAAGGGCAGAGTTTGAAAGTGGAGACAAAGAGCTTAAATCTGATACCAACAAAATCAAGGAACAAGAATTACAAAATCAAGGAACAAGAATTACAAAATCAAACCAAAAGTCCAGAAAAACAGGCTTTTAACAGTATTTTTGATGTTTAAAGGAGACTTCATGTGACACATTATGACCTAGATGTTAGTATCACTGCTGCAGTTGGCAAGGCAGTTAATATACTATCATTGTTTATTCTCTAATTGTTTCCTGTACTGGAAAGATGCCATTAGCTGTTAGGGAGGTTCCTCCTTCTCTATGTGGCTAGCATCTACTGGGTTTAGAATATTATGCCAAACATTTCACATGGGAAAAAAAGCTAAATTAAAACAAGAAAAGTACAGTTGTTTAGCGGAATGATCCTCATCAGTCCTGCTTATATCAAAAAAGCTCATGTTACACAAGACATAAATCATGTTAATGAGTTTTGTGGTCATTTATGATCCCATTTTCAATCAGAAGTTTAAGTAGATTTTATGCTATAAAACATTGGGCTAAGTTAATCTTAAATAATTCTCCTCTCAATCATTTAAAAATGGTATGTTCTCTGAAATATTCCTCATTTTATGAAGTTCAGCAATTTTTTTTTCTTTTAATATATGCAACTCTCTTCTGAATTCTCTACAGTTTATTTACATGTGACTGGGAATGTTGAATATTCAGGATAATATTCCTAGAACTACATTATTCCTGCCTGAGGACACAAGATCTCTTTGAATGCAGCCTTAAACATCATTAAACTGTTTTCTAAACTATTATATATTGGACTGCTGTCAGATTTGCAGTCTCTCTTCCCCTTCGGTCTCCTGTTCATTCTTGTTTTGCAGCTTTCTCCCTCAGATTGTTTTCTCACTAAATGTTCTAACTGCCATTTTTCCTGTTTGAGTCTTGTGATACTGATGAGTCAAAGTCTCGGTCTAAGTAAAGCAGAACAACTGTTCTGAAAGCAGTAGTCTATGCTGATTTATACCAGCTGAAATTTCGTCCCCATGTTTCTGATCCTGTCACTATTCTTAGAATTATGGTAACGCCCAGATGTATTAAGTATCTTTCCAATACAATGATATGGCCCAATCCTTGCCTCAGAGAGCTCCCAGTACCAAAAGAGAGACAAAGGAGAAGGCATCAAGTCAACTTATTTTAATGTATTTTATTCTTGTTCTGAAGAATTTACCAAGGAAGACATGCTTCAGGACAGTCTGTGCATGCCATGAATTTGCTCTTCTTTAAATTCCTTGGCCCCGAGATGCTCCTCTTACACTATGGCAGTTAATAGTACATTTTGAGCCTGTTCTTTATCGCCACTTTGTGAATTTTCAACTCAACTGGTTGTTGCATCCAAACTGATTTAATGGAATGCATATTATGTGTTCAAAAGAATCTCCACTAAAAAAATTATATGACTAAAGCCTTTTAATTTTCTGTCTTTGTGCGATGTCATCTGAAATGCAGTTGCTTTTCTAAAGGTGGTGGATTTTATTTTGTTGTTTGCTTTTTTGTTCTTTTTTTAACTGAAATCCTCATTGTTGTTTGTTGCTTACAAACATGTCAGTTTCCAGCACTAGTGATTTGGAGCTAGCTGCACAGATCTTTATGCAATACACTTGTGTGTGCATCTGTCTGTCAGTTGTCTTACACTGCTCAGTGTCTCATTGTTTTCAGACTTGCTGGTGGAATTTAAAGTGAATGACTATGGAATCTCAAAGCTATGTTTCGTATAAATTTCATGAAAATAGAGAGTTGTATGTCTGGAAGGGGGATTCAGCTACTGTTCCCATTAAGGCAAAGACTGCAGCATGAGGCCATTCCTAATTAGACAGCAGCAAATCAACGTAAGAATGCCCCAGACCCGTGAAGGGAGGCATAATTTGAGCCATGCTTTATATTAGATACCGTAAGATTCAGCCCCAAGACAGATTCACAGGAAATGAGCTTCATTACCTCCTCTGGTCACAGAATGAACATGTTTTTGCTTGCAACATTTGTTCCATTACTGTGCTAGGGATGGGTGTTAGATACAGGGATGGTAAGTGCCAGGAACATTCTTTCTGTTTTTGAAGATCATTAATATATCTGCTTTTCTTCAAAGTACTACAGTACCTCCCTGCTTTTAATCATGAGCAGCCTGAGCTCAGCTGCTACTGGCTATTACTCTTAGATGTGCATCATCCTTAATGACAAGCTGTACATGCTGAGATTTTCTAATTAAAACCTACTATTTTTGTACAGGTAACACTTTGTGTATGGTGTTCATGTGTAGATGTAGAAGCAAGGCGAGGTGTGATCTAATGAAGCAGGATCTTCTCTGAGCTCTTGACCTAGCTTTTCGTATTGCTTCTCTCTGTGGCTTAGGGAAAATCACCTCCTCTGTCAGTGCCAACATTCTTCCTGTGCAGGACAGGGTTAATGCTGTCCTACCTCCCCAGACAATTATGCAAGAGAATTAACTCACTAATGCTTTATATGATTTGTAGCTAAAAAGTCTCATAGTGTTCTGAGTATTTTTCAGATTCGTAGCCCTAAGAACTTGCCAGGGAAGCAAATGTCTCCTCAACATCAAGTTAAATCTGCCAGCTTGGGAAGAGGTGTTGGAAGTTTTTTTTACTTGCAGCAGCAGTAGTTGTAGGGTGCTACCTGCTTCAGGACTGCCTCTGTCAGGGTTTGTCTAGGCTTCTGCTCTCCCTAGACCCTGAGTCTTCAGAATCCTAAGTGATGAGGTCTGTCTCCTACTTTTTAGTTGTGCTGAAATCTCTTCCCAACCCTTCCTTTGTGCGGTCAGGCTCTACTCTCCCCAGCTGCCCTCTTTATTTGCATAGTAGCTTCTCCTGGTTTCCTGTCCTGTCCCCGTGGAGTTCACAGCAGGGCAATATGCTTTGTAGCTGAATCCAGAAGCCATGGTCCGTGTCAGCTTCCAGTCTCCCCATCCTTGCTTGGAAGGCAGCCAGAATCTCAGCACAGCGTGTAGACAAAGGCTGTTTTGGAAGTCCGTTACCCCCAAGAAAAACATCTGTGACCTTTCTTTAGGCAGGTCTCAGCCCAGCTTTTGCTGATCAGACTTTGTTAAAGCATCCATGCTTACTGTTTCTTCAGAGTCATGGACCTCCTTGCCAATGCATGTTAACACAGGGGAGGGGTTAAGACTCCTTGTGGACTCCAGGATCTTAGTGATTTTAATAACAAGAACTTACAGGAAATACGTACAGTATCAAAGAGAGCACAATGAAATGTCACCCTGAATAAGAAGGAAGTTCAGTGACTTGAAGATCTTCATCCCAACCCCATGATGTGTCAGACTCTAAGATGCAAGAGACTAAACCAAGTTCTATTTTATTTTGTTTTGCCGGGGGAGGTGGGGTGTGACTGCTATTTTCCAGACTTCTGCACTTGTACCAGCTACTTACTCAAAATCGGAAAGCTGCGATCAAGGTAGAGCTTCAGGGAAGGGAGGGGTTAAGAAGGATTGGGAGCTCGAGGGCATCTTGTCAGTGAGCTCTAGTTAGGAAACAGGCCTGTTTTGGCTCCTGCACTTCCTTTTCTCCCTAGAGCTCTGCCTGTCAGAATCGCCTTCCCACACACCGCTGCCCTGCCATTTGCCAGAGAATTGCGGGGGAGAGGGGCTTTTCCTGTCTGTGTGCTGAGACTCAGCCAGCTCTCAAACTGTGGTTTTCTCTGGAGCCCACTCGCTGTGGCTCTGGGTGTTTTTCACCGGAGAAGAAACGGAGGACAAACGCAGTGAAGGGCACTGCTCCCAGGGTCACGCTGAGGTGGCTGGCGAGTGCTCAGCTATTCCCCTCCTCTCCTATCGCTGACTTCCAGCTGCCAAACTACACGGTTACAGTATTGCCTCTTTGCCCTGGGAATGTGACTGATTTCGAGGAAAGACAAGGCAGAACTCCCAGCAGGTTGCTCCTTTCTGAAGAGTGTTGAGCAGTTTGCAGAGCTCCTGTAGGGACCCGTTCCCCACTCCCTGCTTTTCCAGTCCGCTGCTCAGTTCTCCAGTGTCTCATAACGTGCAGATTCTTTTGTTGCCTGTGACAAATCTCCAATGTACTTACTCTCCCACCTGCTATAGGAATAGAAATATTTTCTATTCCTTGGTATTACTGGGGATTTCCTTTTTGTCAGCTGCTGACCTAAAGTCCCTTTTTCAGAGAAAGAATCGTAGAGCCTGTTATTGCAAGCACCTACAGGGTGAGACTGAAGAACTGGCGTTGTAACATCTTCCCCATAACCTTTTCTTTCCTAGAACTGTGTCTCAATCCTACCTCCCACACAAAGAAAAATTTAGCAAGATAAATGCAGAAAATCAGTCAAAGCAATAAAAGCTTTACTTCTTTGTGAATGGGAGCCAACTGCAAGATTAGATTGAGGATAGGTCCTCTCATTTCTTAATCCAGAATAGTATTGTTCTGTGGCAGAAATGAGCTTGTCTGCCTTCATATAGAAACTAGTCCCAGCTTCCAAGGGTATAAAATTCAGCTCTAAAAACTACTTCACTTACTTGACCACTTAACTCTTCTTTTTAAGTGTGGGACTGTCCATGGAACCTTGGGGTTGCCTTCACCGGGCAGTTGTTATGCCTCACAAAAATGTCACCCACCTCCATCAACTCTGTCAGCAACATTCAGAGAGGTAATCACCAATTACTATGGATTTTTGTTTGTTTTGTTTTGGTAAGTTGTGGTGTTTTTTTTTTAACCAGGCTCTCTTTGCCAACTACTCACAATCCAGCACCAGCCATATATCTATGCCAGCTGGCTCTGATGCCCGCAAGACATCAAGTGCCACTTCTAGTATCCAGAAGGCAGCCAGTTTGCACAAAGTGATGCCATCTCAGAGTACGCCTTCGCAGCTGGTTCCAAAGCCTCCAGCAAACCACAGGCAGGCAGTGGTCAGAAAGGCTGCAGCCCAGAGGAATTCCAGGTAAGTCTTATCTCTTCCCATGCACAGCAGGGAGTCAGCACTGGTTCCCCCAAGAAGGAATATCAGAGAAGAACCTGTCTACATGTGACTTTTACATAGATCTTTTCGGCTATGCTGTCCAAGATAAATCTCAGAATAACCTGAGCTGTGTGTACTGAAATAGGGGCGCACTATGTTGCGGTTTCATATTTCACAACGGTAAGGTAGGTAAGACTGTAACATCATACAAACATAGAGAGACAGGAACTGCCAGATTGAATCAGAGAAGTATCTGATCCAGGGTGGGATTCAGTTACCTAAATATAGGTTGCTAGTGATGTTTTAGATGACCAGGGCTATTCCACCTGACCTCCAGCTGCTGCTCCAGATGAGCACAAGTCTTCTGTAGATCTTGTGTCTGCCAGTCCCACGCAGATGTCTCAAACAACTTGAGAGTACCAAGTTATTTGGTACTAGATAATCTATGTTTAGGCACTTGAGTCACTCCCTCCATGTTTAATCTTTGATGGGGACTAGAATCTGGTGGGTCAGAAGAGGCTGCCAAAAAAAGACCAAAAAAATCCTTAAAAAGATAATCTGCCTTGAGCCAAGTTTCCCCATAAATTTAACACACGATGATTGACTTATGCCTTCAAGCATAAGTGTTTATTTCATTTAAGGTGTTTATATTGTGCCTAATGTAACAATAGCTTTCCTCATTATCTGTAGAAATCCTTCTTTTAACTTTTACTAAGCTTTTAGTTATATAGTGCTTGCCATTCTAAGGTAGATGGATTTGGCGTGTGTTATCTTTAAAACCAAACAAAATTCACCACGAGATGTTGCTCACTGATTGTTAGTTTTCTTCCTTTCCATTTCTTGGTGTGTCTTCTCTTTTGTGCATTGTGAGAGAATGTGAGCAAGACTTCTGGGTTTTTGTCTTATCCTTGATCTTTCTTGGTAGCTTCCTCAGCTCTGTGTTTATCTCCTCTTCAACAACAGAATTTGCTTTAGACTAAATCCTTCATCAGGTTTTTCCTCATATATCCTCCTCAGACTCGTTTCATCCCTGAATACTGAAGGGCAAAAACTGCATTCATAACTTCCTCCCTTATATGTACTCTACAGCCAGAAGAGTTGTAAAGCTTTCAGAGCAGGTTCCTGTGAGCTTCCCTGATTCTGTGTTCCTTTCCTGTTTAAAGAGAGAAGTTTTAGTAATATCACTGATGAAAGACACATTAGGAAGATGCTAAGGCACTATCAGTGTGTGTGAATCAAATCTGGAACTGCAAGGTGTGTTTAAGGAGCTTGGGCAGAACTGCTTTGGAGAAGCTTGTGTATTTCCTGCCTGTACTGTTGCTAACTTAAGAGGTAGCACGCTGAATTAATCCCTCAAAACTATTCAAAAAGAAAACAAGATAGTAGTAGACTATGTCAGCAAATGGAGATGTGAGCATCAGGCCTGGCAGGTATATGCTGGTGGGTTTGCTATCTGATTTCTTTTATGTTTAGTGGCTCATGTTAGAACAGGTGACAGGCTATGTCAGTGGGTTTCTCTGCTGGGCAGCAGGGATGTGTACTTGAAGATGCCGGTGTGCTGTGCTCACTTCTTGGCAGAGGAAATGTTTATCCTTGTGAGACGGAATTGCAGCTCCTTGGACAGACTTTACTTTGCTGCATTTTTGTGGTTTCTGCTCTGTGACAGGCAGGAGTGTGGGAAAACCGGAAAAAAGTTCAGCACCAAAAATGCACAGAAGGGGGAAAAAAAGCAAAAGATTCCTTCAGAATTTTAGAATACTAATCCAAGTATTGAAGGCTGCAAGGAGCCACTCCGGAAATACTTTCCAAGTTGCCTTTCAGTCTCCAGCACGAGGCTCCAAACCCATTCTTGCCATTCATGGGATCTTGCAGTAACATTTTTTCACTTACATGGAAAACAGCAGTGCCCAGCTATATTTCCAGCATCCTGAAAGCTGATCATTTAAAAACTGCTATGGCTCAGTCTTATTTAATCCATTCATTGTTGTCAGGAAAAGACCAGAAGAGTCTTTTGTCGATGCAAAAAGATGCATCGACAGAGGAGAGTGAACGGAGAGAAGCCTCTGTGTCAATGGAATATAGATTAAAGAAGAAAAAGATATCTTGCATGCTCCAGCCTGTTTTTTACAGTCTGTGGTTATTCTGTACAAAGTACTCTCGGATACTGTGTGTAGTCTGCTTTCAAAAAACTCCAGTGGTAGAAACCCCATCATGTGCTATGGAAGACTATTTAAGAATCTAGACAACCTTATTATCAGCAAGTTTCTCCTGATATGCAATCTGAATTTTTTCCTTTGTTTCATCCTGTTGTACCTTGTTCCTCCTTCCTGAACCACCCTAAACACTTTCCCTTGCAAATACTTTCCATCTTTTGAATATCCTTCTACTTCTTGGAGTTTCCTAATGTTGCTTAGACTTGTTCAGGTTTTATTAACCTCAGATAGTAGTTCTACTTGCCAAGTCCTTAATTGTCTTGAATGTACCTGTATTTTCTTCAGTTTGTCAGAGTGTTTGCATTGTGGCACCCAGAATTGTACTTTCCCAGTGTGAGATTATCATATCCTTAGATTGTGACATAGCAAATATCCCTCTCCATATCATCTATGGAGCTCCATGAGACCATTTTATGGGGGTACATAGTTTTGATTAAATGTGCTCGTATAACAATTAGAAATATAGTTTTCGAACAGCTAACAAAACAAGCTCTTCTTTCTTTCTAAGAGTCAGACTGGGTCCTTTCCACTGCTCATGTTGCCCCTACTATTGGCAGGTCTGCGAACCGTGAAGAGCCCTGCTGGTAGCCGAGAGCAACATTTTGAGACAGACATCACAGATATAGTATATTTGCAAGCTGTGGAATGAAGCAGATGTCCCTGGAAGCAGCGTTTGGTGGATTGAATCTTCATGTTACAGATGACAGCATGCAAAGTAGAAAAATATATTAGCTCAACTATCAAAACCCAGAGTGAACTAGTACAGGTGGTAGACAGAAAATCTTCCTGCTTTTAGGACTGAGTCACAATAAATACAAGTTTCTATGCTATCATTCCTACAGTAACTTTTCAGAAACCTCTATGACAGCATCAAGTAGAGCAAGGCCTTGAACAGCCTGTGAACAGAACTATCAAAGAAAAGATCTCATGAAAATTCAGCTGTCAATGTTAGACCACTTCCATAGAGAGAGGAAGTGCCAGGTAGAGAAAAGGAGCATAGAGTTCAAGATTTTATCAGGAAGAGAGCAAGCCCAAGGCGATCACTGAGTTTACAAGCAATAGACTGGAATATCACAAACTATTGGGCATGTTGAGCAACACGGCATAATTTCTGGTACTGAACTTCTCTGTAAATGTCATTCTCAACAACTCCATTCAGGAAGGCTGTTGAAACAAATATTCCCTTCAAGTCCTAACACCACAGCACAAAATCTTTCTACCTTATTCTTCTTTTGTATATTTGCTTTGCATGGTGCCAGCAGCAGAAAAGCCAAAGTTCTGCTCTGTTGTAACTAGTACAGAAAAAGGGTACAGGTGATGCATTTCTCCGGGGTTCAGGAAATCCATCCCACAGCGGGATGGAGTCCTGACTGCAATTGGATACGGCAGTAGCCAGCTGTTCTAGGACATGCTTGCCAAGCCTGGCAAATGTGCCAAAAGTAGAATGACAGCCATAGAGCGAGCCCTGTAAAACACTGTGGTTCTGGTTTGTATCTCGTCTTGCCCATGTGTGCTTATTCATAGGCATGCGTGAAGTGTCTTAAGTGAGCTGGGTACGTCACGCATACGAACCGAGTGCCCACTGAAAAGAGTACAGGCAGCAGGAGAGCAAGCATGTAACTGTTACTGGAGCTTCCATTCTACCTACGGAAGGGTGAGCTGAATTTGGCTGTCAGTTGTGCTGCATTAACAAAGTGGACAAGCTGATTATGAGCATGGAGTCTCTATGTAAGAAGCATAAAGATCCATCTGGATTCTCAGCTCCCAGAAAGACCATGCAGTATGAACAGCAAAAGAAGACATAAGTACAGATCCAAAATTCTCTCCAAGAGACATTAAACATAGCAACAGGCACCTAATTTGACAACAGCGTTTCAGATTATGGCTGACTCAAGTAAGGGTTTGTGTTTTGCAAATGTCATCTCTGCATTCCTCTCCCTTCCTGCATGGACTCCCAATTGATTCACTAAAATTCAACTGAGGTACAATACAGGAGTCCCTCACTGGCCTTTTGGCTGCCAGGAACACCTGGATTACTGGCAACTTGCTGACTTTGAAATCTGAAAGCAAAAGGTTTCAGGCAAAACTATAGAAACTGCACACGTGTGCCTGGGTCTGTTAGTCATCAGGGTATCACATGGGGATTGCAGATTACAGTGCTTTTCTAAGGAAGAGCTCACAGAAATTGTGTAACACTGCAGAACCAAATGAGTGAAGAGAAGGACTCTGGCAGAGAGACAGGAGTGTACACACAGAAGTCTGGAGTGATCAAAATACATTGGATGGCAAAGAAGAAAGGCAAGGAGGAATAAGGGAGGAGAGGACAAATCAGGACTAGATGAATCAACTGTATAGATTTTAAAGACAGAATAGATCATTGCAGCTGTGTAGCTTTGACCCTGCCTTGTGAGTAGACCTATTTTTTGTGTAGGAGGGCATGGTCTCAGTTTGGTAATGAATCTTTATAATAGTTAAAGGAAATGCAGTTGTGCTCCGCAGAATATAGTTTTGCTGTAACTCAAATGCTGAGATAAATGCAGGAGGAATTGCGTAACGTATCTGCTTGAGGACTCTAACTGGGTGACTAGAGATTAAATGCATCCTGTGGATCTCGCTTTCCAAGACAAGTGAAAAATCTTGCCTAAATGAGCTGTGTTGCTGAGACAAGATGCGAGGACTTAACTTTTGAAGGTTGCATGGTTTTGCCAGCGTATGCATTTCTGTTCTAAGGTTGCTTAATCATTTTACTTCAAATCACTGGAATAAGGTGACCACAGCATTACTAGTTGAGTAGTGCTTTGGTATTCCAGTACCACTCACTATCTCCTTTATCCTCCAGAATTGGCTTTCAAGGCGTGTGGGACAATTAAGTGTTGTAGGCACATCAAAGTCTTGCTGATGGCTTGAGTGTTCATCTGTCTTGCTCTGCCTTTTTGGAGTCAGTTGCTGTCACTGCCTTTTTCATACCCTGTTCAGGCACAACTTCATAGCTACAGTCCCAGTGAGATTATGTAAAGTAGGAGAATTCTCAATTTTCTGTTAGAGACTTTTATTCTTCCTTGGTATATCCCTTCTTATCTCTGTCTAATTTGATGCTTTTACCTGTTAGGGTGACCTCCACTGAAAGGCAACTGAATGGATTCCAGAACAGCCTTCACAGTGCTGCGTCCTGTGAGCCAGGGACAAATTCCACAGGTGAGTGCCAGTGCTGAGGATCAGGAAAGTGAGGGTGGGCATGCTGGGATGCTTTCATCTTTCTCAAGAACTGGCAGAGAAAAAACTTTCTCAGCAAGAAGAAGAAACACAGCTGCCTACCCTGCATGTAGTGGTTCCTAGGTAACAGCCTGAGTTCAGCTGTGCAGGGAATTTATTCCTCCTGGGATTAAAAAGACTAAACAGAAGGGAGCAAAGGCTGAGTTTCATAGAGTTGGAAAAGGAAGATCCTTAAAAATGTGGCTGGGAAAAAAAACTTGGCTAAAATGGCCCCTCTTTGCTTTAGGCTTTGGCTCAAAGATGCTCTGTTGTTTAAGCTTGGCCTGTAATAAAGGGCCAGGACATTCTTTACATTTTTCTTCGGTCTTGCAGAAAAGCCCCTTAGTTCAGAAAGACATAGTTGAGACTTGTGAATCCGCTGCATAGTGAAGTCAATCAGTAGAGGTAAAAGTTCCCAAAGGAAAATCACTGAGACTTACAGAATCAAGTCTTCATCATTCCCTAGAGGCTAATTAATTCAAACGGGTTTATCTGCTGTTAAGGTCTCAGTAAATGAGGACCCAACCCATTTTTCCTTGATGCAGACCTATCAGCAGGTAGAATGCAGTCTAGATGAACCCGTATTACCCATGGCCCACAGTAATTTACATTGAGGGTGGTGAGGCACTGGAACAGGTTGCCCAGAGAAGTTGTGGATGCCCCATCCCTGGAAGTGTTCAAGGCCAGGTTGGATGAGGCTTTGGGAAACCTGGTGTAGTGGAGGATTTCTCTGCCCATGGCAGGGGGGTTGGAACTAGATGATCTTTGAGGTCTCTTCCAACCCTAACCATTCTATGATTCTATGGTTCTAATATGTGATGGTGCTGTATTGGAATATATGGACAAATTATGATGTAGAATGCTTTAAAAAATTATGTTTCTGACTTTTTGTTTTGCTGTGAAAACACTGAAAACATGAGTATCACTGATGAGATGATCTCTGTGTTTTCACATGCTCAAAGAAAAGTTTGCATGGGGGTGAACTCTCCAATTCATCTCTTGGATATTTAGCTCTGAAACTTAAAGATGACATTTGTGTTATTAATGTCAGTGGTTTTATTGCTGATCCTCTAGCACAAACATTCAGCTAATGCACTTATCTTACAGTTCCAAACTGCCTCCCACGCTTTATCACCTGCCAAAAACTCCAGTTATCCTACCAGAAATGTTATAGGGTGAATAGCCATAGTCAATAAAAAGGACCCTACAGCACACTGAAACGTGACTTTGTAGGCATGGAATATAATGAGATTATAAAAATAAATAAAATTATGTCAACACGGTAGTATATGTATAGTTGAGACAAAAGTTCTGGTCTACTGTGTAGTTGAAGTTGAATTTTTAGTACAGTATATAAAGCAAGCTTACACATAAATTTACAAATAAATGTAAAAATGGAGTTCTCAATATATTGACCAAACTGGTTTACTGAGTGGACTGAAATGAACGTGTTTGTGCACTGAATTCTGCCTTCTTTTTCACGGTTTTAAGAGAACTCTCACATCTTCTCTGGATACTGTTGTTGTTATGTGGGTCCATGATAACTGTAGGTAGCATTTTTCTATCCTTCCCTGCTTCTATGAATATTTATGCAGAGCACGTGTATGGATTATTGATAAGATTAATGATGGAAGGCAACAGCCAGAGCTGCAGGAGGAAAACAGGCTAAATAACTACAAAATTCAGAGTAGTCACCCTCTCTGGGAACACTTGTAATCCAGTGAGAACTGAGAACTTCAGCTCATGTTCCCTTCTGTAGGACTAGGCTAGCTGCACTGTACTAAACTTACCCTCGCTGAAGCTGAAACAAAGGGTTTATTTAGCCTGTCATTTAGCTAAGAGTGTGAGGGCTTAGACAGAACCCTCGTTTGGCTAGGGACAGGCTAGCAGGACCTTGGTGGGTGGGTCACTCAAAGCTTCCTGTCACTAGAAGAGGTATATAGGTCCAAGAGCAGTGCTAAATATTGCAGTGATTGAACTAACTAGAGCAAAATATTTGTTCTTGGAAACTGGGAAATTATATTTTCTTCAGCTTTGCACCAAGCCACTGGTATGCGTCAGAGGCTGCTGTGCCCAGTCTGTGTGTCTCAGAAACTACTCTGGTCTTTCCTGCAGGAACAGCTGTTTTTCTTCTTCACTCTGTCCATTGATTGCTTACACTAGGGCCCTGATTTCCCTCATCAGCAGCTTATTTGGGGTTACTGTTTCACAAGTGTTTAGTATCCTAGATACCAACTGGAGGGGTTGGAGACACGAGTCATAAAGCAGATTACAGAATAAACTGGAAGCATTTAAAGATAGAAGGCTATGAAAAGTTGCAGAGATAAAAGAGGAACCAGGCAGAACCTCTGCATAAACACACACACAAACATTCAAAAATGTCTGAGAAGCTTGAATAGGCCTTCTCCTCTAAAAGCCTATCTGAGGATAGCTATGGGGCTCTGCAGAGCAGCATCATAAAGGTGTCACAAACAATGTAACCAAAAGTAAGGATGATGCTCAATGGAAGAGAGAGTCAGACAGTATGGAGACTTTTAATCAGATTGTCCAGAAAACAGTTCACTGGTGGTCAGTACTGCAATTGTAGGAGAATACCAGTTGTAGATACTGTTGGGCAGTGGGCCTGAGCTCTTGAGAACAGATCTCTTGAGATGAAATAAAAGGGAGAATAAAAGTCAGCATTTCTGCAAAGCAGCTCAAGATTCTGAAATAAGCCATCACTACAATGGAAGTGTGGCAGCCTCTCATCCCTGCGGCCTCAACCTCATTTCATGGAGAGGCAGAAGTTGCGTGTGAGCTGTGTGCCACTGGCATAATGAGAGGGAAGGCAAAGGTTCTCATGAGTATCTAGACAAGAAGCTAAATCTGCAAGCTATCATTTGGGGGTTATTTGTAGTGTCTGAAAAGACCATTTCCTATCAAAATTCCTGAAAGTTTAACAAGATTTATTCTATTAAAGAAATACTAAGAATTACTACCTCTAGGGAAAATTCAAAATGCTTCTGACCTGATTTTTCACTGAACACCCAGCCACTAGTGGGTTGTCAGTCACTCTGAAAATACAGCCATTATCACGTTGCTTTTTTTTGTTACTTTGAGGGTCCCTCAGCATTACACTGATTGTTTCCTGCTTCATGGAGTTTAACAATTCAGTTAGTATTAGTGCAATAGGATGACTGTGAACTAAAAAAATCAATTATCTTTTCCAAGTTGTCGTCTTGTCTTCTTGTATACTGACACAAAAAGAAGGCCTACAGACGGTAGAAACAAGGACAGGTAGCCTGGGAAGAATACAGAGCAATTGTCCAAGCAACCAGAGATCAGGTTAGGAAAGCTAAAGCCCTGATAAAGTTAAATCTGGCCAGGGACATCAAGGGCAACAAGAAAAACTTCTATAGATATGTCAGTGATTAAAAGAGATCTAGGGAAAATGTAGGCCCTCTCCGGAAGGAAACGGGGAACCTGGCTACCTGGTATATGGAGAAGGCTGAGGTTCTCAATGACTTCTTTGCCTCAGTCTTCACTGGCAAGAGCTCCAACTGCACAACCCAAGTCACAGAAGGCAAAGGCAGGGACTGGGAGAATGAAGAACTGCCCATTGTAGGAGAAGATCAGGTTCGAGACCATCTAAAGAACCTGAAGGTGGACAAGTCCATGGGACCTGATGAGGTGCATCCGCGGATCCTGAGGGAACTGGCAGATGAAGTTGCTAAGCCACTATCCATCACATTTCAGAAGTCGTGTCAGTCTGGTGAAGTTCCCAATGACTGGAAAAGGGGAAATATAGCCCCCATCTTTACAAAGGGGAAAAAAGAAGAGCCGGGGAACTACAGACCAGTCAGTCCCACCTCTGCGCCCGGCAAGATCATGGAGCAGATCCTCCTGGCGACCATGCTC